AAATTGGGAAACCATCAACACTGCAGCATTAGCCACTTAGAGCGTAAAGCGGCCATTAAGTTGGTGATAAAATATAAGTAAATGGCATTTAGCTTGAACATGTAACCATGCTTTAAACATTTATATATAAAGCACAAGAGCAGGAAGCAGCCGTGTTGCAATATTCGATAATCGAACCATTAATTGAGCTGGCATTCTAAAAAGCAAACATCTTATTCCATTTCCGTGTGGTATAATTTTCAGGTGAAATAAGCCTCGAAACTTTATCAGTCTGTCTGCATTACAGCTAAAGGTCTACTGCCAAAATGGATTACTCTAATAAAACCTGAACACTAATTAATAACAACAACCTATAATCTGATTAACTAGAGAAAAAGCAATAAGCAATAGAAAGCAATAATTGAGAGGGCCTGTAAGATAGCAATTAATTGCCCTTGTGTTTTTAATATAAAGTGCTTCTTTTTTTTTTAATTTCTTTGCTGATACTGTGGCATAAGATTACCCTTGCCTTTGCATGTTATGTCCAGTAACACCCTGATTTTGAGAGGTCACATGAAACTCTCCTTTCTACTATAAACATGCCAACTCCTTAGCAAAATACATGTATAAGGGTTGCTGCAAATATGCAGCAAATAATTAATGTTGCAAACTGCAATTCCTTCTTGCAAATTTGCATCAAATTTGCTGCAATATGGCTGCAAATTCGCAGCATTAAAAATTTTCTTGCTAACTCCTGCAAACTCGTTGCAGCAAACTTTTCATTTTGCTACAGGAATTTCTGGCTTGTGTTATCGGCATCTCCAGGAATGGACCGAAGCCATCTTCTGGGTCTTCCAAAAGACGGTCAGAATTTTTCAAGTTTACATTGATGGGCATCCAATATTTTCTGTCAGAAGATGGCCAAAAAAAATTAAGGATGGATCAACAACGGTAATTTGGAAAAAAACCTCTTATGTCTCTGTCATTTCTGGTAATGCCCTGTGTTTCAAAAGTCTTGGGAAACTTTTCTTCTATTGTGCGCATTGCTTCTGCTGTTTTCAGCATCTTGAACTGGTATTGGGATGTCTTACAAAATTGGCTAATGAAGTAAATTTGGTCGAAGATTCACTCGTATGCACATGGGAATTTGGTTAAAGATGCTAAGCGTTTCAGACAGATTATGTGGCCTATTATATTCCATTTCCAATGCCTAATAGTTTCTGGACAACTTATTAAGTTGCACACAGAAACCATCAGAAGGCAACTTGATCAAGAATGGGAGGATCGTTGCATATAGTTTAATTATTACCAGGCCTGTAGTCAACAAGTTCTTAAAGGGGGAGGTCTTTTCCTGAAAAAGTGGACCTTTTACTATGAAACCTTCTTATATTTAGATCAAAGTTTCACCAGTGCAGACCTTTACATGGCAAAAAAACAGTGGTTTGTTTGAACCCCCCCCCTCTCCCCAGCTAGGGGCTTAGTTCATACCAAGAGCAATGACACAGAAGCCTGTAATTAGCACCAACACTCGACACCAACAAATGAATGAATTATAATACAATCAATGAAATTATCATTATCGATATTCAAGACCCCATGTGCCTGTTTCTTATAATAAGTGGACACATTCTTGCAAAATATGAGGGTAGGGAATACCTTAATTTTCAGTTCCTTGTGATTGGCCTTATTTTTCAAGCGTGATGCATTATTTGAGCCCAATATTCTGCGTGAAACGTAATTCAGGAATTCTTGGTGATTGTTGATTGACCTGAATATATCCTCGTTATTGGTTATTGAGCTGTTTTAATTCTTCGTGATTGGTGATTAAGGGGGGTATTCCCTACCCTCTTCAGGTACCATGTACATGTACCACACAAACCGGGACTGGTTAAGTTCTCAATGACATCATCAGATAATAGAATTTACTTTATATTGGTCTGTCTGTGCCTAGTGGGAGCTTGGCTAAAGCTTCCTACCCAAAGCAAAACTCCATGGGATTCAGTGGCGTTAACAGGCATAAATAAGCAGAAAGCCAATTAACCTTATCCTTGGGAATTATCTCTTAGACCCCATTCCCATAGATTTTGGATCGATCTATCCCTGTGGGGAGTCTCACTAGATTACCGTCAGCTTAGCCAGCTTAAGCCTCTGTCCCACCTACTAAAAGCTGTAAGGGGGTAATTAACTATGGTGCACGCTAGGCTGACTGCAATATAGCGTGAACCCCCAGGGAGTTAGGTCGATCTAAATCTAAATCTCTGGAGCGATCTAAATCTCTGGGAATGCACCCTAAGACTATTGGCTGTAAGCAAGTTAGCTGTCTATAACAAAGCATTATCCATGCAGGCAACTGTTAAGCTGTCTTTCTGACTTACTGTTTCAATTTGGATGGCCATTTTCTATTTCAGATATCAATATTCATAACTGGAGCATATGGGGCCTAGACAGCTAGTCTTAAAGTAAGAATATGAGTTTATAGTCCTTATTTCAAAATTCAACATGAATCAACTTAATCCTGCTGTCAGGTAGCGTTATTTTGGCCTAAATCAGTCCTGGTTTGCCCCGTCTGAATGCACTGCTTGTGCACCTGGTGACCTTTTATTTACAACTGTGTAAACTCCCAGAAACTTTGTGGTTCACCAGAGATCTAAAATATAAAGCCTATGAGGGCGCTAGACAGGCTGAAAAGATAATACACATCAACCAGACCACTGGGTTTACAAAGTATCTCCTTATAAATACTCTTGCAGTTATTTCAAGCAAATCCTCCTCGGCTTTTAAACCGCGCATTTTCGAAGAAAAACTCACCACCATGAGATAAATGCCCAAAAACACTTTTCGATGAAATTATCATTTAGACGATCTCTGTATACACAGTGGACCATTTTCACAGAAATTGTGGTTTTCCTAATTGCTGAATCGCCTAATAAAGACATTTCCTAGTCATTCTGCAAAAAAATGAAACATCCATCAGAGCCCTGGTGAAGAACCTCAATGGGGGTAAACCCATATACTTAAACTGGGGCACAATGCTTTATCTGAGTTCATCCAATATGTCAACCTTCCCATTACGGAGGCATAATATTCTTTTAAAATAATTGAAAATTAACCTTTCTAAAGTGCACCTACTAGACGATAATCACATTGCTTTCCAGTGAACTGCTGTTACACAGATTCCAATTTCAGCCACAGACTCTAAAAATATTCATTTTTAGGTAATGTTTCAATCACCAAGGAACTGGCATTCAAAGAAATGACATGTCAACTGATGATGTGTTTGACGTATACCTCCAACATTTTACTCGTCAGGGGTATTAAAATTCAAAGAATGATTAAGAAATCTATAACTTCTAACATGAACTAAATATTTAAAGTACACACACAATTTAGGTAATATTTCAATCACCAAGGAATTGGCATTCAAAGAAATGACATGTCAACTGACGATGTGCTCGACACACCACCACCATTTTACTCACCGTGGGTATTAAAATTCACAGAAAGATTAATTAATCTCGTAACTTCTAACAAGAACTAAATATCTAAAGCATATCCTCAATTTCAAAGTCTGAAAGCATTTTTCTTTTTCCCCTCTGGCTTAAATAAATCCAAAGAAACCAAAGGCACCATACAAACACATCAGAAAAAGCATTTAAAGCAAACAGTTACTACCTTCAGGTCAAGGTAACAGGAGTTTTTATTACCCCCATAATATTCCGTAACACATTTTCAAAGGAGCCGTGGCTAACCCTCTACACACAGCACCTGACAAACACATTTGGGGGCCAAGACAGACCCATAAAATAGTGTTAATATGACTTCTTCATGGTAAGGAATGACGCAAACATTTCAGGTGCATTTCAGAGGAAGAGGTGTATGCAGAGTTGCCAACTTGACAGCATCCAAAATGTGTACTAGTAGATCTATTGTCTAATATATTATTAACAATAGAACACATGTAAACAATTGGGGTCTGTCCTAAATCGTAGGTAGAAAAAATATACAGAAGATATGTAAATATTTAGAGTTGGCAAAACATTCAAAAGTGAAAATATTTTGAAGTTATGAAGTGCTAATTAGACTGTTTGCACAATATGAGGGGATTTTTCATTGAATTTTGACAAGACAACTAATACAGATCCACAGAATATTAATTTGTTTGAGTTCTCCTTTGTCAAGGTGACACATTAAGATATTGGGTTTTTGAAAAAGGAAAATCTTTGAACACACCTATCAGCAAGGTGTCTGGGGCCGCCTGAAGAACTGAATGAAAAAATCAGGGAATTCTCTGTGATTCTGCAGAAATGCTGATGTCTGGGATGGACAAAAACTCAGCAGCTGCAGGTATATATGGGATATTTATAAGCATCCTTGTTTCTATTGCGATGTGTGGCAACATGCAGTGAGCTATACAGCATGTTTGCCATTTCTACCATTATGCTTGCAAAGATTGCGAATTAACATAAAAATTTTTAAACAAAATTTTACATCCACAAAGCACATGGATCTCCTTCATGCAGTAATGCTTGACTCATCATAGGCAACTATATTTGCAAAATTCTAAAGTAACTGAATCTGGATCTTCTTCAGGGTTAGTCAGAAGAGTTCTCTGGTTTTATTTTTCAACATTATATCAACATATTCTAGCTTTCAAAGAATTTGTGTTGAAGTTTAACTTATACCATAAAAATCAACTCAAATTCTTTATTTCCAACACAAAATTTTCAAAAAAAAAAAAAAAAAAAATTCACTTACCTCAGAAATGTAGATAAAGTGTAGAAACCACTTCAGTAGCTCTCAAAATCTTCTATTACGAAGGCACTACGTATATGTACTTTCAATGCAAAATGTTACTGTACACTTATCTTTCACTCCACGCACCTGATGCAAAATTTTCAAAGAAACCACCATGGGCTGCTTACTTTATGAAGGTTAACCTGCCTTACTGCAACCACAAATGAGAAACATTTTCAACATTTCACTCAGCAAGCGTATTCACTTTCAAAGAAACGCTCCCTCACCTCGGCAAGGATAACCTATACACCGCAGAAGCTGTCCCGAGGCAGGTATCTTCCCAGAAGGCAACTGTTTCACATCCCACCTGCTGCTAATCAATCTAATAGATCTTCCCACTGCACTGCGCATCCACTTTCTACAAGAAACAAGAAAAAAAAAGACTTTCTTAATAATTTAGCTATATATTAATCTGTAAATATGTTCTTATAATGTTAGTCTGCATGGCTATTTGCATAAAAGAGGAAGGCGTACATGTAAATGCACTTTGGGACCAGAAAAAAAACAAAAAAAATACTTAATCTGTATGTTCTTATAATGTTAGTCTTTATAGCTATTCACATAAAACAGGGAGGGATACATGTAAAAGCACTTGGGGGTATATTATAAAGGAGCCCCAGGAGGGGAGAGGGAGGGATGTTGTTGCCCGTCACATAAAGAGATATTGCATGCACTGAAATTTTCAAGAATCATGCACACGAATGCATGGTACTAAAAGAAAAACCTTGAATGCACGTAGGTAACAGTTTGGAAAGTTATGTCCTTTTTCGCGCCCTTTTTACATTCAGCAATATAGTTTAGCAATTAATACGGCACAGCCTGAACCAATATCTATACTCACTTTGAGAGATGGTCAGCTTCTGTTCCATTAATAGCCTGACTATTCGGGCAAATTTTACATAAATATACAGAATAATGTAGACTTCCAATTAAAAGTTGACTGTTAAAATTACACATCTAAAATGTAACAGTTAGATTTCTGAAAGAGATACTAGCATTCTGGGCATTAATCAATATATATTTTAAGCACAGTTTTTGAATGTGAATAATAAAGTACCAGTAGGATGAGGGTTTTGATGATGCAAAAATAAACCTAACACTAATGGAAACTAAGTGAGACTTTCATTTTTAAAGGTGAAAATTGTCTACTGTTGATTTTTTTCTACTGCACACTGCAATAACTCCTCCGATCTATAGTCTACAGACCCATACTAAATGAGAAATTCGACTGACATCAGTCAGAAAAAGAGGCCATAGACCGCCAAGCCTATTGAGCTGTTATAAACCAAGAAAATAAACGACAAGCACTCGTGATCAGAAACTAAATCTCAAGACATAAATCTCATTTCACATCAACCTTCTATTTTTATGATGAGAAATAATTGTTTTATTATGGAGCATTTGTTTATGTCTCCCTGGACTCTACGATGATGAGCTCGATCTAACTTAGAAGATTTAGGAGGAGTTCTCCCTTGCACAGTATAAATCAAGGTATTGATTTTAGTAATGAAGAACTTGGATATTACTAAACTGTATCAAATCGCAATAAATTTGGTACAAAATAATATATATATATTATAAAGAATTTTTGCTTCAGCCTTCAACATTTACTGAAACATCTTAAAATATTACAAATTAATGTACTCATATTACATAACAAAATACAATTTTGATTAACGCCAACCTTAACTGCACTCATGTCTTCATGCTAGGTACCGTAATGAAACAAAACAATGCTGATCACCAACAGCAAACCTACCTGATTTCAACACACAAATAACATGTGCTTTTGTTTTCCTGTACATCAAAACAATATAACCAGCGAAATAAGAACTGAGATGAAGAGAAAATTCAATAAAAACATGTCCCTACCCCCAGTAAGTACATGTACCATGCTTTTATCATGCAACGTATCATGTGTCCAGGCTTTTATTAATAAAAAAAAATGAGAACTTTTATGGTAACTGGTGTATCATACCTGTGCAGTATCAGGAGACGGTGTTTAATTCTAGAGGGAGCTGTCAGCTATAAAAAAATCAATTTTTCACTTGTTTCCACTCTGCTTTGATCAAAAATGATGATCTGAAGTATCTTATACAGTAATATATAAATGAAATAAGCAATGAGGCAAAATATATAAATTATAATAAAATACAATATAAAATATTAAATTAAAAAATATATCCATAAAAATGATTATAACAACAATTTATCCAAAACAGTACATAAGGAAAATCCTAATCAATTTAAAAAAAAATCATATGCAGCTGCAGAAAGTGAATAGGCTGTCACAATACTGCAAATATTTCTCATTTTACATGCTCATATTTTACCCTATATTCTAGGTACTTTCCTAAAAATGTTCTATTATCACTACAACAAATATTGTTTTTAGCATTTTCATAATTACCTATCCTCCCCCTCCATACTTTCCGCATACATGAGTTTAAGACTTTTAACAATAGAGACTTAGTAATGTTGGCTTTTAAATATGCCTGCTACGAGGGATAAATCGGCACTACCCTGACTGTAGCGAACTCAAGGTGCTCGTTTACAATGAGAAGTAGTCTTGCGTGTCACAAACTGACTCTCTAGGGGCCTTATTAACTGCCAGGTCCTATACGAGTTCTTCTTTTCCTGTACAGGTTATAACACAGGATGTTCAATGTATGCGATATACAACAGAGTAATAATATTGAGGTACAGACTTAGACTGCATTCCCATATAACTTGACCATACAAGAAGGACTGACCTATCTCAGTGGGGATTCTTGCTAAGGTGCAGTCCATATGATAAGTTTAATTGTCTGACATGCCCCAAAGCAACAAGAACAACATCTTGGACCACAGGGTTTTCCCGACTTTACCCAAGTACTTTAAATGAAGTTACTTAGGGGAGGAGGCAGCCAGACATTTAAGCTGCTTAAACTGGATGCAATTTAGCCATAATCCTGAGGAGTTAGATCGATCCAGCTAGTATGATAGGGTTATGGGAATGCTCTCTTAGCCCATGGCTGGTGCTTTGAACAATAATAGGATGTTTACGCTTCGAAAGGAATGAAATAAATTAAAATATAGGCAAGTGTGTAGGCTACCCCAATATATATAAATGCTGGGGTAGCGCTAGCAATTTTTTTTGCTTAGCCAAATCACCACTTTTTTTGTTTATTTGTTATCAAAATGGTTATAATTGACTAAAACAAGTCAAATCAAGCCCTTTTTCTTTAGCCAATTTAAGTAAGTTTTAGCATTTTGCCTAAACTGGCGAGTGTTAGCGCTACCCCAGAAATGCAACAATCCTATTTTTCGATAGTTTCATTAGAATTCAGGAGCCGGTCCAGAGCTATTTACTGACAGTCTTCCAAATGATCTTTGTTGATTCATCCTCCAATTTTGACTGTCTTCCAACAGAAAAAAAAATAGATACCGTCAATGTAAACTTGAAAATCTGACCGACTTCCGGAAGACCCAGAAGACGGCCTAAATCCGCCCCTGGAATTGAGCTCTTACTGGCATCTATACCTACAGTTTGACATAAAACTCGATTTGGTATTCACAAGGAGGAACCAATTGCAAACAAACATGTCCAGTCATATTAAGGACAACACATCTGACAGTCCAACTCATAATTCCAAGTGGATGGAAAAAAACAAAGAAAAATTATCTTTTTACCAGGACAGGCTAATTTTGTATTCAAGAAGAAAACAAGAGTGTCTAAGCTAATTATATAATCAACAACAGCATTTCTGACATCAGCCACGCATTGCTATATATTGTTTCAAAAATTTGCTGATGAAGCACACGTAACAACCTTATCAGTACTAGCGCTTGGCTTGTCATAAATTGACAACATTTCTTTTCCCGACATTATTGAGGCTATTGTCTTATCTTTAGTATTCACAGCAATAAGAGGTCCTGTTTCTTGACGCTGAGATCGTTGAGAACGTCTGGTCACAAGAACTTAATCCCAGACATCAATTTATGTTTGAGCTACATGGAACACATACATGTAATGACTAAAGTCATTGGAAATAAGGGAGCGTTCAGATCAACCCATCATACTAGCTGGATGGATCTAACTCTGCAAGAGATTCTCCCCAAGTGCAATCACTGTAATCGGTTTAAATGTCTGACATGCCACCTCAAGTTGCTGGGGGTAATTAACTAATTAACTAGCTACTCAAGGAGGCATATCAGACAATTAAGCTGATTGAAATGAATGCTCTTTAGCGATAATCCCTGCAGTTGGATGAATCCAGCTGGTATGATGTTTGAATCGATCCAAACTAGATCGACCTAACTTCCTGGGGGTTCACGCTAAATAGCTGTCAGCTGAGCGGGCATGAAAGTTAATTACCCCCTTACAGCTTGTAGTAGGCGGGACGGACATTTAAGCCGGATTATCTGACAGTAATCTAGTGAGACTCCCCACGGGGATAGATCGATCTAAAATCTATGGGAATACGCCCTAAGACCCTACTCGTAAATGAAAGATTCCCTGTAGGACCACCAAGGACCTTGCCCATGTACAGCATTTTTAAACTTAATGTTCCACTTACCCCCTTACATAAAATTTTTATCAAAGTTTTTCCTTTTTCAGATTTTTTTCATTGACTTCTTCATGCATGTTATTTGGACAATTTCAAAATTTCAAAAACGAAAAAAAAAAATTAATAAATAAACATATATTAAGTCATATTCAAAGGAATTTCACTCATGAAATGCTACAGGATAGACAAGTGTACAACAATGTAAAAAAATTCACAGAAACAAAAACAGATCATATTGAATTAACTATAATTTCCATGAATTTTTACAAGAAAGACAACCTAGGATTCACAATCACAGGTCATAAGCAGCCTGGAATCGCACAAATCCTTCCTAATTTGATTTTCTCACAAGAAAACAATCTAAGAAATTTAATTTGTAAAAGCAATTGAATCGTTTTCCGGCAACACACTGACCACTTCTCGGTCCCCAAATTGACCACACACTTCGAGAAAATCAGAAAATTGATCTAAGTCTCTCCATCTGGGTAACCCCTGCGTGGCTTGGAGAATCAGATTTTCCATCCATTGGGATCGCTTGATTGTATTAGAACTTACAAAAAGAGAAAAGCTGACACCAGACCAAGAATTAAATAACAAACTATTAGATAATTTTTGACCTGATTTATTTTTATTCATTACTGATAAACATCTTTCTTTCATTGGAATCTTTTCATCATTCTACTTAAAAACTGAGGGGAAAAAAGCTCCGTGTGCAATGCAGTCTTTGCCATTAAATCCTATTTCTACAGTAAGAGACATTCCATGGTAAAGATCACCAAAGGGAATTACACCCCTTCCCTCCCAGCAG